AAGTCACCTGGTGTCCAGACTAAAAGACTGGTGCCTGAGCCTCTGACTCGCTGACTTTCACTGCGAGTAACATGGGTTGCCGTACCTTCTCCTTCTCGGCCTCCAGCAGCTTGTTCTTGGCCTTGAGCTCCTCCTCGATGTTGCTGTAGATGTTGAGCATGATGCCGTCGTCGTCCATCTTGGCGATGGCTTTGGCCAGCTGTAGCTTGCGCACCTCGGCGTGCTTGAGCTTGCGCCGCCGCTTCTCCTTCAGGCCCTCGTCCGTCGCCCGCTCCCCGCCCACCATCTCGTGCTCCAGCTGCTGCAGCCTGTTGACGGTTGCCGTGGTTGATGGAAGAGGAGGGGGAAAGAATGTAAACGGGGGTGGGATTTGCATAAAATTTGCATAAAATCTTGTACACTGAGTTATCTGGTTGCACAAAAACATAATAATTTGAGGTTCCCAGACTGAAGATATGGTTGCTGTACCTCGTGATTTGGGACAAGCTTTTGCGTAGCAACCACCATCTCTGGAATAGACTGGTTCCTTTGTGCCGTTCTTATCCGTTGAGAACAGTGTATTGTTGCAAGGCGTCTCTCATGTAACTAAGCAAAAACTTGCCCCAAATCAAACGATATAGTAACAGTGGTATAGTATGGAGAATTGAAATTGCCAAGTTTGTGTGAACTTAAAGAACTCAGTGTACCAGATTTCCTTCAAAGTAACCCTAAAAGGCTTCTTGTCAAGCAGAGGGGTTGTCATAATGGCCAACACCGAAAATGAATGATTTCTAGAGTCAAAACTCCTGCCATTTCGGAAAAATCTAGGCAGGATTCTAGGTGAGATCTTAGCAAGTGATGGAGACTGTAATTCAGACTAACACCCATTTTTCACAGACCCTAAGCTTACGGGATTTACACTCCTGACTCCAGTCTTTGACCTGAGAGCGACCTAAATGTCGTGGACCTGACTCAATACACGGATGTTTCTTATGAGTGTCGAATCCTGCAATCAATGGTGCGATGACACTGGGTATCGGAAGGCAACCTAGCTTGTGCCTACCTTTTGAGCGCTTCATTCTGGTCCAGGGCCTGGGAGGTGTCCTTGCGGGGCAGTGTCGGGGAGGCCATGGGCGCCGACGGCCCCTCGTCATCAGGCTCCATCTCACCCCTAGCCAGATAGTCATCGAAGGACTCACCCTACAAGAGTGACCAAGCAGAGGGCGAAATTACAGTGCCGCATCGGACAATTTCCGACCATTTATCTTGTTGGTCTAAACAAAAGTGGATGCCATGTTTCGCTTGTCAGCTGACCTGACACTGACTAAATACTAATGACAAGAATGAATTCTGAGCCCTTTCTGTGCTTTTTAGAGCAATCTCTGGACATGAGCCTTTGGTATCCCTAATTATCGCAGGTGCCTAAAGCTTCATGTCAGCAAGGCAACAAAAAAATCGTCCTAGATTACACAGAATTGGTCCGGCATTGTAGGCTTTGACGCAATCTCAGTTTAGAGGATGTGAGAACCAGCCAAGTCAAACGACCACACACCTGCTCTCCCGTTACAGCTTGGTCCGGTTTGAGTTGCTGTCCCTCTGCATCCAGCTGCTTGGGCGCTTCCGACTGCAAGGTGCTTGCTGGCTCACCCTCGGCTGCCGACGATTCTGACACGTGAGCAGCTGGTGGAGCAAAGTTTACATTTAAAAAATTAACAGACCACATACAATGAGCCCACTCTCTTGACTCAATGATAAACTAGCGATGTGTCTATCTGGATATCCGCCTATCTCCCTGTCAATGGGAGTGACTTCCCCACTCCTTGACATGCCCAACAACATTAGACATCCGAGACAGTCCCTCCTTTCAGCTCTTTAGGTCTCTAACATTCAGTTCAACCAGTCGGCATAACTACACATACGTGTCTCTTTGCACATCTGTCTGTCTGCCAGTTGGTGTGACCGCTTCCCCTCTGCTCACTCTCCATTCACCAGCATGCCTGATTGCCCTTGTAGAAATTTGTCAACTCCTCAATGACATATCTACACGTCTGCCCACACCTCTACCCGTCTGTCTGTCACACTCATCAATGCTGGCACCTGTGTCTATCTGTACATTTGCCTATCTCTCTGTCACACTCACCAGTGTTCCTGACGGCATCGGGCACCTCAGCCAGCTGGTCCTCGTAGTATCTCTTCATCTGTTCTATGTCCTGTTGCAGCTTGTTCTTGTTGGACTGCTCCTCCTCGTACTTGGCCGACATGGCCGCGATCTTCTCCTCGTACTCAAGCCGGATCCGCTCCCGCTCTGCTTCAATCTCGGCAGCGACGTCAGCCGACAAGGGCCTGGTGGCTTCTTTGTTCTCCGGGGCGGCCTCGGTGATGGCTGCTTTGGGAGGCTGGTATGTGCCTTTCAAAGTTACGAGAAAGCTACTATTTCAGTATTGGAATATACTATGATGGTTGACTTGTTTTACTACAATACGCAATGGCAAGGACAATGGCAAAGGCCACTCCATCAATGGCAAAGGCCGCTGCATCAGTGGCAAAGGCCACTCCAGCAATGGCAAGGGCCACTTCATCACTTGCAAAAGCCAATCCAAGTTTTGACAAAGGCCACTCAATCAATGGCAAAGGCCATTTCAGTAATAGAAAGGGCCATACAGTAACGGCTTTGACTGCTGTATACTGTTTTAGTTTGAAATCCACCGTGTCTTAACTTAATACTGGTTAATCCTCAAATTTCTTTACGAGCGCTGCACTTGTATTCAAATGAAACTACAAAATTAATTCACCATAATGACCAGGATATAACACTCAACAATGAAATTGTTAGCATTTTTTCACTGTAATTGCTGACACTTCAAAACTCACTTATCGCTTCACAGGTTTACATGAACTGCTCAGATGGGAATGACATGTGCTCTTTGGGATGACCTCAGAATAACTTTTTTGCTACGAGGCCAATTGCCCATATGTGCGAGAGGAGACAATACAGGGTGCTAATGATGGTGATAAAAGCACTCAAATAATTTAAAAAAAACAACAACAAAAGACGGGGTGTGGCTTAAAAGCTGGAGGGTGTGACAAACTTGTCTAATAATTCAACCTAGTTCAGGTATACTGGTATGTACATGTAGATTTGATTTTCAAAACCACCGTCATATGCTCAGGTTTCTTTCCGGCGGGAATAACAAAACCTGAATCACATCAGAGTGTTAAAAACCAACCAAGACATGAGGTCTACATTATCTCTTGTCTGTGTTTTCAAGAACGGGTTGAAATAATAAAAAAAAGTGAAAATTGCTCACAGGAAATGTTTTTACATGTGTTCAAAAATTTTGCACAAGGAAGTGACGGTGCTGGATAGAAACATTTACAAATGTCGTGTGGTGAAAAATGTGTTAATGTATCACACTCGGTCACTGTGGTAAGAGGTTGTTGTTCTATGTGGACTCTTTGCGGACACCGAATGACTTCTTACGCGTCCAAATGGAAAAACAAATATTGACACGAGGTCAAAGCTGGTAAACACAACAATGCTGGAGCCCTGACATATACTGGTCCCCACTCCTGAAGTCAACAGTTTGAAAGAGGGTCTGGATACCAGCGTCTGTCAAGGCTGTGTTCCAATTACTCGGCTGTGGCTGAAAATAACATGCATGCCTATGGAAGCCCTCAGCCAGCGGCTTCATGCTTTCCCCATAGATTTATGTATTATTCCAAGCCGTAGCCAGGTAAGATGAACAAGGCCCGATATGAGGCGATATCTATCCATCCAAGGTATGTGCACTCTGAAATGTGAACGAATAGCTCTGCGTGGGTGGACCAATGACCGCTTGGCTAAACAGCGTCCTCGTGAGTGTGTGCAGAGAGTCCACAGAGAATGTGTTAGTCTGACTGGGGTGGTGGTGGTGGGGGGGGGTGTCAGGCTTCAACACTTGGCAGGTGTGTTTACGTGTGTGGTACACTTACCGGCCGGCAAACCAAAACCTTCAGGGATGGGGGGAAAAAGGAACAAAGATGGGATGCGATCGTCAGACATGTCTCCTCTACAACTGAGCTTTTCATTTTTCAAGATGCATTTTTGCGTTGGGGAGGTGTTAATTTATGTAACCGGTTTTGCCCTTACCCAACGTATATATTGATAAATAATGTATGCTCAGCGCTTGTCCGAGAGCTTGTGAAATAATTCACCCGAGTAAGCTTGTGAATTTTTTTGCAAGCTCTTGGGCAAGCACTGGACATACAGTGTTTATCAATATATACGTTGGGTAAGGGCAAACCTGTTACAAAAATGAGCTTTTCATGATACAAATTCCACTAAAATGATGCTTGGAAAGTTTCTGGATCTCAAAGTTTGTCAGTTGCATCACAAAGTGTTGAATTAGTTCATGATTTCAATATAATACTTAGTGGTTTGACAATTTGATGAATATGCATATTTCAGGCAAAATGGTTTGACAGTTTGAGGAATATTCACACTACAGGCATAACGGTTTGACAATTTGATGAATATGCATACTACAGCCATAAAAGTTTTACAATTTGATGAATACTCATATTATAGGCATAACGGTTTAACGATTTGATGAATATTCATATTACAGGCATAAGGGTTTGATGATTTGATGAATATTCATATTACAGGCATAAAGTTTGACAATTTGATGAATATTCATATTACAGGCACAACAGTTTGACAATTTGATGAATATGCATATTACAGGCACAACAGTTTGACAATTTGATGAATATGCATATTACAGGTAAATTAGTAGAAGTACTGATGGATCAAACTGACATTCATTATGCATCATTTCTGGTTTGTACATGCAGCTGAAAGTAACCATGGCAACACATGGCTTTTGTTTGGTTGCTCAACAAATACTCCCTTTCCTGCATTTTGATTCAGCTCTTGAAAAAATGGGATCACTACTGTAATTTCTGAATACGTCATCTTTAACAGTTTGTTATCAGCCGAACTGCGCATGATACGACTTGAGCATGAAAGAAAGCAATGGCCAAACATTCAAAGTCAACAGGTTGTTTACAAAATCAGCACAGAGCACTAGTATGCAGAAGCATTCACTTGAAGCACTGTTCCCCTCCAAAGACCCACCCACTCACCTTCAAAGCCCTCAGCGGGGATCTGTCCCATCAGCATGGCCTTGAGCCGGCTGATCTCCTCCTGGTATTGCCTCAAGAGGGCGTCCTTGGGGTCCTCATTGATCTTGGGCTTGTTCTTGATGTTCTTGGCCCGGTTGGCGTAGCGCAGCGTGCTCAGGGTCTCGTCGTAGTTGTTGTCGGCCGGCGAGAGGCAGGCCACCATCAGGGTCTTGGTGTTGCCGCCTGTGTCACAGAAGGGATTGAAAAAATTGAACTTTGAACAGCTGAAACTGATTTTTTCTCGTTCTCCTCGAAGTTTGAGCCCAGGGGAGGAGAGAATCTGGGCCAGAGATGGATGCTTACCGAGAGAATCTTGTAGCAGCCTGGTCAGCTTGGAGTCTCTGTATGGTATGTGCTTTGACTTGCCGTCCACCAGAGCTGAGATGACATTACCCAAGGCAGAGAGAGACAGGTTGATTTTGGTGGCCTCCTTCAATCGATCGCCAGTTGCGCCTGGCAGAAAAAAAGATTGATGTGGTCAAATCTGAAATTCCAGAATCCTGGGAAAAACAAGTCCATGCACATGTTACTTGTACATTAACCCTAACAGTCCTCAATCTTTCATCTGTTGGAGGACTGAGGACTGTTAGGGTTGATGGACAGGGCTCAACTAAGATTAACCTCTTCACGTCGGATGACTGCAAACGCCGCGGCTTTGTGTGAGGATTAGTGCATACCACACATACAGTCTATTCACCAGGCAGCTGCCGGTTCAATGAGGGCCTGCTGCTGGACAAAGCCCTCCATTCGGGGCATGCCACAGCCCAGCAGTCGCGGTCAAAAGAATCCGGCCGTGAAGGGGTTAAAGTCTGGGTGATGGCTTCATTCTTACCAGTCTTGGCTTGTCTCTCGCTGCCGGCCAAGTCCACCAGGTTCAGCTTGCCGGCCCGCAGGTGGTCTTCCCCCGAGTCGTCCACGTCGCAGCGCTCGATGTGGATGGTGAAGATGGAATGGGAGCGGGAGGAGTCGGCGTTCATGAGCGTGGCGCCCGTGGAGCGGTTCTTCCAGCCCAAGTCCATGATGTGCTCGCACTCCCGCGTGTTGTGCACGATGTGCATGGTCAAATCTGCCGGGGAGGGACGATCAATCAGGTTAGCCAAGGACTGTGTCATACGCCAGGTTAAATGTTCTATTCTTTTGTTTTTGACTACAGTGTCAACATGGTCAAAGATAATGAAGCAGAATTCTGTACCATGAGATCAAAATCTGACCTTTGACATACACCCCCCTGTCAGGGTGCTCCTTCAATTCCAGTTTGGATTTGTGATCTTTCCCAAGGAGATCCCTGATGTCCTCATTGTAAATCTCCAGATACGAGGCCCGAACGAGAAACTTGACTCCCTCTGTCACCTGGCAAAGGATGAGACCAGAAAATGGCATTCACTGGGATTATTCACGGGTTGGGGACGGACTTCCTATGGGGTCTACTCTTTTGGCGTCACGGTCGGGTTTGTGCTACAAGTGGTTACTGAAAAACTATGGTTGGCCGTACAAAAGGGAAAGAAAAGTTCAGAAAGAGTTAAAAAATTCCACACAGCTATTAGAGCAGGTAATAATACGAGTAACGAAATGTCTATTTTGAATGGCCTGGAGGTAAAATGAAATAGCGGCCCAAAGGTGATATTTCTTCAATCTCTAACTGTCCAAACACGTTGTAGGCAAAATGAGAGTGGTCCACTTGGCATGAATTGAATGACAAACACCTCTCGAGTACTTTGTACGTACCTGGATGTTCTCAAAGATGTGTTCGAAGGCCCTGGGAATGATCCCCCGCTGGGTTGGCGGGTCAGTTATGCCCTGCATGCTGAAGGACTTGCCGCACCCCGTCTGGCCGTAGGCAAAGATGGTGCCATTGTAGCCCTCAAGGACACCCTATGTCCCAAGGTGAAGAACAGCGAATCAGAAACGGATTGAAGGGGTGAAGGAATTGGTGGGTCCACCATCCCAAAGTGCTAGTAGCAAGTGATATCTCACTAAATTTTATGGAAACACAATGCATTGTGGGGAGCCTGCTGTATCATTGCTTGCTCATGCCAAGAGCGCAAAGTGTAAATGACACAAAGCTGGTTCAGCCGAGTTAAAGACCAAGGAATAGAGGAATTATTCGTTATTCACTGAATACTGACAGCCAACTAAAAATCTATGAGGCCCTTACATTTTGCTAAACCTGTCTGGGCATTTACTCACATCCACGAGCGGGTAGCCTATGTCGTTGTAGATGGTCTCGGTGGTGGAGTCTGTGTAGTACGCCCCGTCGAAGGTGAAGCTCTTGGGTGGGTCCTTGGACTTGGGCTTCTGAATGGAGCAGTAGCCCCGCCCCCCTTCCATCTGCACCACCACGCTGCATCCCAGTGACTTCTCCCTCTCGTTCATGGGCCGACATCGCACGATGACTTTAACGGCTTCAGCCATGTCTCAGCTACACGTATAGAATCAAAAGTTGAGGTGGGGTAAGGCAAACCAATCTGGAAGTTCCGTCAACCATCAAAATGTGGGTGCGGTGTACTTCCCCCCATGTACAGACCCTCAGAGATGGCCAACAACTCCAAATATAAATACGGAAACGGAGAGATTAACTTTACACAACTTAGGCTATGTTACTGTTTAAATATTTTGTTTGCCTGCAAAACAATTTTAAAGTACGATAAAACTGCTACTAATCATGTACTCCATCAAAATTACCAGAGTGCGTCGAGACTGGTGCCGAGAATTTTTCCAGGCAATCCAGAGACGGCCGTTGACACTGCCAGTCAGTAAAGTGCTGTCGATAGGTCCGGTTGCTAAACACTGAACGTAAACACGATCATTACGGTTACCGGCACGGCCGACAGCTGGGCAGTAAAAACGGGCGACAAAATTGCTGATCAAGCTGAAACCTCTTCAGAGTTTACCTCTTATAAACAATGAATTAAAAGGTAAAATTGTGTCAAACTGTCAAGTCACACTATGGGCGTAAACTTGGAGTAATCAGTTAGTAAAACCACAAGTTCACGACGTTTTCCACCGCACGGCTATTTTTCTCTCTTCAGACGGCCATATTGCTCTCCGATTACGTCAATTGGCTCTATCACGTGATCATTAATAACTGGGCCTAATATACCAAGTTAGAAGTAAAAGGGATTTACATACAGTCGATAAAACAGAAATACATGAAGTATTGTTAAATTTTGATAAAATAACAAGAAACTTTTTCAAAAATTACGAAATTTTGCCTATTTTGAAACTGTTAATATATACGTATTATTCAACGATATCAGCATAAATTAGCATAGGTTTTCGGAAGTTCGTGTCTTTTTACATGTGGATGTCAAAAAGAAGCCGAAGAAGCAAACAACAACTAACCTGAAACAAATAAATCACAAAACATATATCAAAAATCTGTTAGCACGCCCACCCAGAAGTTTCAATGTTTTAGCTTCAACGGTATGTTTGTTCTACGGCTCGTTGGTCCAATCTCACCCCCCGTAGTCTCATCATTTTTTTTTAGCTGCCGTACTGGTACCTCGCGGGGGGGGGGCGCCGGCCCGGCATGCGCAGTGGCCCGCTAGACTCTTGTCATGTGACTGATCATGTGGTTTAATACCGGTAGTACATGATGTAGTGGATTCAGAAGAATCCCAACAAAGACTTGGCTGAATCGTGATCTGTTGTCATGGTTGTGCGGTTATCATGATGTTTATAAGCCCCTCAACCTTTGGACATCATCAGCAGATTAGTGTTTTTTATGTAACAGGACACAGTAATGCTCTTTGAGAAAACCAAAGTGAGCTGAGGGGGCGGAACGCCAGATCGCATGCATATGATGTGCTGATGACAGGCACGCTAAGTTAATGTGTGTCCAGCCGGCCGGGGATTCGTACGTTTGACTTCTCCTTGCTATAAGTACTATTACAACTAGCACTTAGTTAACAGGAAGGGCTCCTCATTTCTGTACCGTGTCCCGTCCCCTTTCTGCACCGCTAAAATGGCCAATAGTCATTTAAGATACCAGGACAAGGTTGCATTAGTTACTGGAGGATCTAAAGGCATCGGAGAAGGAGTTGTGCGAGAATTTGGTAAGAAGACAGACAGTGCTGGGACATGAAGGAGTGGGACTTTTTGGGGCGCGGGGAGGGGGGCAAATTTGGGTTCTCGGTTTAATATGAACTGGTTTTCCTTAAGGTGGATTTAACTCATTACCAAATGGCAAGTTTACACCTGTGTATGGATTTAATTGCAGCAGATGTACTACCGGTATATTTGGCTGGTCAGAAAATTGCAGGTTTTTACGGTTTTAACCACAGATTTATGTTTGTTTTCCAGTCAAGGCAGGTGCGAAAGTTGCTTTCTGTGCGAGAGGGGGTAGGTTTGAATTTTTTTATTATAATGATCATTTGAGTAAAGCTATTAGTGTCGTTTTGCTTCTTTATCGGCTCGCTAGTCAGGCTAGGCTAAATAGTCCTGTATCCATCTTTATTTTGATGGCATCAAAGTAAACGTACCAATTTTACCATCTTTTTATACTTTTTTCTTTCCTAGTTGAGATCGGCAAAGCTCTTGAGGTGGAACTTAATAATGCTGGGCCTGGGGAATGCTTCTTCATTCAGTGCGATGTCCAAAAGGAAGATGAAATTAAGGTTGTCACACTGCGGTCCCAAATATTGAGACGTTGCGGAACTCGGTCAAAAGGTGGTCACACAGCGGTCCCAAATATTGAGACGTTGCGGAACTCGGTCAAAGGGTGGTCACACTGTGGTCCTAAATATTGAGACGTTGCGGAACTCGGTCAAAATTTCTTGATTGGAACATGAGTTTAGCATAAAATAATTCAGCCAAAAGGGCAGATCATTTGAGGGGCTAAGAGGTCATTTCACTCAAAAGTTACGGGGAAGGAATCAAAATTCATTTTCTCTCCAGAGTGTGAAGTCAACAAATGTCTTACGTTTTCAACTGCTCTTTTTTAATTTTTCAGAGAACAGTTGAACAGACAGTGGAGAGGTACAAGAGACTAGATTGTTTAGTCAACAATGCTGGATGGCGTATGTAAACAGTTCATACATGTATATATGCACTTTTTCAATTTCAGCAACGGTAATTCCAAAATTTGGGGTCCATTTTTTTCGTGTCCCTGTTACATCTGACATATAATTTTGTAAGTTCAAAACGCATTTTTTAATTTCCAAGGGTGATGAATTTATGCAAATTACCTGCCAAACAAATTGTAATAGTTTGAAAACAATTCCGGTGATATTAACAAAGGTCAGGTGTAACAAGGACATGAAAGTGTCACACTTTTGGACCCCTGAGTTTTGGAATTACCCATTATATAAGCTGTGCCTTCGTGATCCAGCTGGCAAATGTCAATTTATGATGACGCTCCCTCAGCAGACCTTGGTATTCAACCCCGTGCGCATTTGACCTGTAGATCCCCCGGAGGAGAAGATTGATGACATCACAGTGGACCATTTCAAGTGGCTGGTTAACTTCAATCTCGTCAACTATTTTACCTTCAGCAAGGTGGGTTTTTTCTTCTGGTTTTCAATGTTGTGGGGAAAGGAGCGACGTGTTCAACAGACTGACCACCCAGTGAAGAGAAGAAGAAATCCTTACCAAGCTGGTACCACTCTTCCAGGAAAGTTGCATCTTTGTGTATATGTTAGGCACAATCGGTTGATCTATACGCTTGCTCAATCACTTCAAGTGGTCAACTTTGTTGTATGATTGGTCAAGAATGTCACCTCTGGATGATTATGGTTTTGTTTCTAAGTCATGGATGCGGAAGATTGTTTCAAGCAAGGGCAGTGAAGTCTGAGATTTCTTTAAGGATTAGCCAATAGTGCAAGGAAATTGTGCAGTTGTGTTGATTGACTGAGTCCACAAATTCAATAGCATGTAAATACCTTTAAAAACTGCACATCTTTTGAAAATTGTGCTTTTTGTTTTGTTTAGTTTTTTAATTTTTGCTGTGTTGGCACATTTTTACAAAATAGAAACTCAGATACTTAGAAATCTCAGATGCCAGTTCAAAACCATACCCACAATATAAATATTGTCCATATGGTGCATACTCTTAATTTAAGATTACTACTTTGGCTGTTTGCGTTTCTCTAGTACGCTTTACCTCACCTCCGAAAGACCAAGGGAAACATCATTAACATGTCTAGTCTGGTGGCTAAAATTGGGCAGACTCACGCCGTGTCTTACGTCACTACAAAGGTACAAGGACTCTTGTCTGTCTGTCAATAAATTGTTGTTGCTGTAAGTCATCTATGTAAAAATATCGCTGTTGTTGGGCTAACTGCTGTGTGGATTCTTATTTTGGATTGTAAATGATATACAAACAAGCATTGTAGTGCCATGAATTTTGTTCTTCAAGCATACAGTAGGTGCGTCTGTACACAGGGCAACCCTGACCTGGCAAATCTTATGAGTCATTTCTGCTAATGGCACCGAGGATTCCTCAAAAGTGCCCTTGGCACTGTAGCTCGCAAGCCTGAAGAAACCTGTAGAGAGGAGACAATGGGAAGCAGTTACAGTTTTAGAGGTGGGACTTGCTTTCCTTTTTTCCTTCCTCACCAACAGGGAGGCATCGACGCCATGACCAGAGCTATGGCTGTGGACGAGGCCCAGTATGAAGTACGTGTCAACAGGTAGGCATCGCCAGGAAGTTGTTCTTGATGTCACGGCTTCTGTACTCGTTCCTTCAAGTCATTGCTGTAATGCATAAACAATGCCAAGAAATATATATGCGGAAACCAAAAGTGGAGTGCCGTGGCCTTGTGGTTAAGAGTATCAGATTCGCAGGCGACGGGTAAAGCCGCAGGTTGCGTGTTCGAATCCAGCCCGGGGTCATGGTGCGTGTGCCCTTGGGCGAGGCTCTTTGTCACTCATTGCCTCTCTCTCCACCCAGGAGTAATTGGGTACCTGTGAGGGCAGAGCTGGATATTGTGGCTGATTTTAATAGCTGCTTTGCACTGAATAGTGGCAGCATCGAGCTGCATGCTCCCCAGGGAGCCGAGATGGTATTTGGAATGTTTCGTAGGCCCATTGAGCAGGGGTAATAATGATACACAGCACCTTGATAGATTGTCTCTCTTTCTACAGTGTGAACATTGAAGCATGTAGAGGCGTGTCTAGGTCTTTGGTCAGGGAGTGGCAAAATGGAATTCTTTTTTTCTGAAAAGATTGCTCAATTTGCTCAGGTAATTTAGGTTAGTAACCTTTTCTGCTTAATGAGAATTGTATACGTCAGGATACAAGGAGCCAGCTAAAGATCACCAGTACCTTTCTTCACTTCCCTGTTGCACAGTGTCTCCCCAGGCAATATTTGGACACCCCTGTGGGATGGCTTGTCCAAGGCCTCTGCCAACACGGAGGCAATGATTAAGGGAGGAGCTGAGGCACAGGTGAGAGGTCAAGGGGATGTTCCATTAAGTGGTGGAGGGTGATTTGCAGCAGTAGCAAATTTGTTTAATGAAAATTTGAAGACTGGAGCCTGATTGCTCGGTCCATAGCAGCAAGCCATGGTTAATGTGGCACTCAACTCCGTGCTACACTGTTGTAATACCAAATGCATTGCATTGGCAAATTCAGACCTGTATCCGGAAGAAAATCATGCAAGGGAGCAGATCTTCATGAATGCCAAGACGCCAGATGAGAATTAATTTTTTAAAAATTCATTTATGGACTTGAATCTCTACAGCTGATTGGTCGGTTTGGCACCCTGGAGGAATCGGGTAAGATGTGCCTGTTCATCGCTGCCGAAGCCACCTTCTGTACCGGCAATGATTTCCTGTTGTCAGCAGGGGCGGAGCTAAACTACGGCTGCAAGACACGAATGAAGGAGCGTAGCAATATCTATGAGTAATTAAACTATGGAGTCCCAGTGATCCACTTTACTCGGTGGCAGATTGTAAACCTGCAGTCTGATGTTCAAATGAAATTTAATCAAAGATTAATATCCATTGATACAGTTTGATTTCTTTGGGAGCAAAATATGACATATTTGGAGCTGAAAGCTTCAAAGTCAAGCAATGAAATCAGGCAAAGCCAGAGATGGAGGCAGAGACGAAAGCTGGCAAAATCTCCCGAAGAGCTTTAAAGATTCGTGGTGGGGTTTCCTGCTTTTAAATCTGGGATGAGGAGAGCTGCAGTTCAGCCAAGCTGCCAAAAAAATTAGCTTGCCATTCATAATTTTTACAAACTCGATGTAAACATTTCAAAAAGGACTTCATGCCTACTGAAAAAATAGTGCTGCAAGATTTTAATATCTATGTTTCCCTTTAAAAACTTTGTGTATATTGTTTTTAAGTTCAGTCACTTTAATTCAATCATCTGAGATTGAAATGAGTGTGTCGAAATGTTTGTTTAAAATATATATTAACCTTGCCAAATTTCAAATCAACATCAGAGATGAGTCTGTCAGATTGAGTTTGTTTAATAATTGATTTTGACCAATTCATCCTCGGAGATGAATCTGTCAGCTTTTTTATAATTGATTTTGACCTCATCAGTCGCCAAACATGTTTTACCACTAACATCCAACAGTACTACTGTGTCAGAAATATGCAAATACATGCAAATATGCAAGCTTTACCAAATTTGTGGTCATATCTCATTCACAGAAAAGCTCATGATTGGTCAGGGTGATATTTACTTTTCCTTGTATTTGTGCTGTATCCCTTCCAGCAGTTATTTTGTACATAAGGTCATATTAGGCCAAATAATTTGAACACTGGAGAAATATAGTGTCATTTGAAATTGCGAGTTTGGTTTTTCATAGTCCGGCTGGATAACTTTTGTAAGGGAAAGTTAACAGTTTTGAACAGGAGAAATTTGTGTGCTTACTAGCGACAAAACAAGAAACAGTTTTGACGCTTTTTGTTGAAAGTTTATAATCATTTTATTAACGAAGAAAAGGTTTGATTAGCATGTATTTTACCCGTATTTTATAATTCTTTAGATTTGATCAATGGTACAGCAGTCTCTTCAGGTTATGAAGCCGAGGAAGGATTTTAAGCAAAGTTTTTGCAAGAAATAATAATGTGTCAAATGTCAAGATCTTTTAAGGGGTATTTAGCCTCAGGTTAAGGAGTTTGAGACTCATCTTCCTGGCTCTACCAAATTTGACTTTTTCTTTAAAATATTCTGAATTTTTATAGCCTATGTTCTTATTTTGTGTAGAATTAGTAATAAAAATCTGGCATACACCATCCTGTGTGATCTAAAAAGAGTTTTATATGAATGTAGTTCTCAAGTTTAGGGAAATTAATTACTGTGGAAAAGACATTTATCAAGAATACTTGGCAATATTTGATACAGTAAATGATGAGGTAACCATAAAGGCTATTAATTGAGCCATCCAATCTACAGCTGAAGGCAGTCAGTAAAAGAGGCGATTCGTGCAGCGTAAGGAGGAATAATTTTTCCAACATAATGTGGTGGGTTGGTTTAGCTTTCTTCAGGAGGCGGTCACTGACATGACTGACACTACGCACTGTTTGACTCCACCTCCCGATCCAGCCAACTGGACTCTGAAACACATGACTGAGCAATTTCATTATCATTCACATTCTATGGTGTTTAACCAAGCGTGAGCATGGCCTAGTAAGTAATAGTCAATGGAAAATCGCTGGAAAATTTCAAAGACGGATATTTGCATATTCTCACGGCTCAACTTACCCATTCCACTGCAAATAGGTACTGTCCTATTGAGCCTCTGAAGAACCACCTTTATCTCACGATCTTGAGAACTGAAAATAAAGATCTTGTCATAATTGTCCACAAGTGTTTATGTACACAAAGCAAGAATGCGATCTGAAGAATGTTGCACCTCTTAGTCAAGTTGACAATCGGAATTAAAAGTCACGATCACTGCCATGGCACTAAAACAAAGAATCTAGTGAGAATAATACCCTCATATTAGGGTTATTATGATTTCAGCTTTCCCCCGTTTCAAATTTCCATAACCGGGCAAGTGAAGTCATTCCCACAAATTCCCACCCCAACTTCTTTCCCCTCAATTTCCTGAATAGGTTTACGCCATTAATGTGGACAAACGGCACGCAGCTAAATCTCAGAGTGACTGGGGAAGCTAAATCACTCATAATTGCCTCCGTCTCCAACTTTGGACTCTTATGATATCAAAATCGCTTGTAGGTCTGTGATGTTTGAACTGATAGCCCATGTTATGTCCAAAGTGGCGGCGCTATAGGATCTTTGGTAAAGTGTGACGTCACTTTGAACCAGAAAGTGCAGTGCAAACGGATGGTGTAGGCCCACGTGCACGTGTTGGTTCACGCGTTGGTTCTCGCTCTAATGCCTTTTACGCACACACTCGTGCGCCTGACGTAGTCACTTCGGTACCCCGGTGAGTGACTTCGTCACAAAGGTGGACGCGCCACGATTTGCAGGCTCTCATTGGACGATCGTCGTGCGCGTTAACTTCCCGTTCCATGCAACCCGGCCCTGTGTGCAGTGCACGTGTGCAGTGGGCGTGGTTTAAACTGATGTGACGTCAAAACTTTACCAACCGGCTAGCGAAGAAAAACTTGCTATAGGGCCAACGGCTAAGTTGGGGCTAAAGGTTTGTAGCAAGGGGTATTGGAAAAAGTCCCAAGGTTCCTGCAAGAGGCGGGAGTACACTTTCTTTTCCTGAAACGTTGAGAGGCGTCGCAGGATAGCCCACTCACAAAAAATTTGACATTCAAAATGCTGAAGTTGTGCTGGCCTACTAGAGTGGCTTGTAACGGTCTGCTGTGCGAGTTATCGAGCAAGTACTGTACGTTGTGTTTTTATGTGCCATGCTGCGAGTAAGCTCTGCAACTGCTCTGAGTTCTATTATTCTTCAAGGAGTACGAACTCCACCTAATTCGGCCAACATTTCTTAAGTAAGAGTCGCCGCCGAGGCAAATAATCAACATTGAAAAAATGTCTTATCCTATTACCAAAATGCTTTGATATCTCAGCAATGAACTGGTATTTGTCTGACAGGTATGGTTTTACGGTAAATCGAAAATGACGCGCAAAGAGGGGCCAATTAATTTATTGGGAGTGGTGGATGTGAGGGAATATCTGGTGCACATGGCAGTATCTAATTAATCTGGTTTGTAAGTGACTTTTCGTCATTGATTATTGCACGTTCCCATTGGACGAACACTGAATTTGCGCGTTAACGTCCAGTTCCAGAATTATGGTTTTATATGTGACTCTATACGCAGTGGGCGTGGTTGAAACTGACGACGTGACCGCACACTTACAAACCAGATAGGAAAGGATGTCGCTATTTTAAACGAGGCATGATCAACCTCTGGACCGTGAATAAGCAGATCATTGAATAGATAGTGGAGCCTCATAAAAGCTCAGCAGGGCCAACAGCGAGATGAAAAATTTGAACAATTCATTCCTTTAAATACCTTCATTCGTCGTCAAATTCATGCTCGTGGGCACGATCGCTTACGTAGGGCATTGATTCAACTTGATTCTCTTATTCAATAAAATGGCGAGCAGTAGTTTAAGATATCAGGACAAGGTTGTATTGATAACTGGAGGATCTAAGGGCCTAGGGGAAGCAGCCGTTCGAGAATTCGGTGAGAAGACATCACTAAAACTTAAGTTTTTTTTTTTTGCTTTAAAGGTACCTCGAGAGAGTTCCATACAGGGCCTATCTGGACGCCATTTGCCACCACCAGCAAAGACGTATCATTTTCCGGAAATTGTACTTCGATCTATGAAAATTCCAACCGCTTTCTAAGTAAACTGCGATTCGGTATTTTCCCTCCCAAATTCAACTTTTCTGGATATGTAGGTCACTGTATTAAATATACATGTGGGTCAAATACAGGCGTCTGCCTTTGTGTGGTTATCAAAGGGTCAGACAACAGCCGGACTTGCAGGGTAACCGTCTTTTCTGGTTGAGAAATTGAAGTCAGATTCAGTGGCGTAACCACGGGGAGGGGGGAGGCTGGGCCCGGGGTACGTGCCCCCACAAATTCCAGGTGCCCCCGTTGCCCTCCCAACAACCGGATGGATGGATATTGAACAAGGCTAACAAAAGCTTTCCCCCAAAAAACACACCACTAAAAGATGGTGTCCCCATAAAATGCTGGTGCCACCTTGTGCCCCAATTCCCTCAAATGTTAGCTACACCACTGCTTATAGATTTAACAAATTTGTTTGATTTGCCTTTTTTCCAGTCAAGGCAGGTTCAAAAGTTGCCTTCTGCGCGAGAGGGGGTAAGTTGAAATTTATATCTTGATGGCGTAGATTGCATTGATTGTTGAAGCTATCTGTAAGCTATCGCTCAGTGGTATACCTATGTTATTTGGCCTGCAGCACTAGATACGCCTTTTTCTTTATTTTCGGTGGTTCCAAAATTAACATAGAATCTTCCCATATGTCTGTTCTCATTTGAGATTGAGTAGTTGAAAGGATTGTTTGAACAAAACTATCAATATCATTTAGTCAGTCGTATATGCATCTTTAATTATCAGCAAGTCCTGCATCAACCTTTTTTTTTATTTGTCTTTTGTATTCTCTAGTTGAGGTTGGCAAAGCTCTGGAGGTGGAACTCAATAAAGTCGGTCCCGGGGAATGCTTCTTTATTCAGTGTGATGTCTTTAAGGAAGACGATATCAAGGTAATGCTGGGATCCCAAACAATCATCGGGTCAAATTTCTTGATTTGAATAAGCTATGTCAGCAATAGTAATATTACACAACTGAAGCCGCACAGGATGGACCAAGAACCAACTGAATTATTTTTAGGAAGCCGAAGTTTTTTATATTGGGTGGTGGAAATTGTTATTCCGAGGAGTGAGCCTAGTGTGGTGCTTTTACTAACACACCATTTAGGGAAGGAAAATGAAAGTGACAGCTCGAGTTTGGTTTCTAGATCTGTCTGCTTCTAAAGGGTCAGTGATTGAAGCCAACTTGAACTCTCCTCACTATATCTGTTTTGACGCACTTTGTTGGCTTTAGTCCCTTTATTAAAGTTTTAATCTTATGGTTTGCATCTTTTTTGTTCAATACTTTTTCGTTAATGCATTTGTTCGTTTTCTTTGAAGGTCAAATATTGGTGTCTGAGTCCCTATTTATTTAGTTTCCTGCGACTTCTCCTTGAAAGCCTCCTTGGTTCAGTTAGAGGTTTGTTATTCATTGTTTTTGCAAGTTCCCCCAAAGCATGCCATTTTAATTTTCTGGCCCTGCTACACTTCCAACGATTCTTCTTTGTACAGAGAACGGTTGAACAGACAGTGGAGAAGTATAAGCGACTGGATTGTCTGATTAACAATGCTGGTTGGCGTAAGTACACAGTGCATTTAATTCAGAAAGTGAAAACAAAAAAACCTGACTACCAAGCTACACTGTTTGATGAGACCCCCTCGACAGTAATTCAATGCCAGTAAAGTGAATTAACCCAGTGTAATCTATTTGCAGATCCCCCTGAGATGAAGATCGATGACGTCACAGCCGAACATTTCAAGTGGCTGAATGACCTCAATGTCATAAATCCTTTCATCTTCAGCAAGGTGGGACTTTAAAGTTTGTGACCTTTTTGGGGGGAGGGGTGGGGAATTAAGAAGCAACCTTTCGACAGACAGACCGAGCCACGACGCTGAATGATTGGGGTGACATGTCCTCGTTGGTAGGTTGCAACATACATATGAATGGTTGGGCACTGCATCGATGGAGATAGTGGTGCACTCCTTCAATCACTGTGCAATATGGGTGATGATTCACATTAATCAAGCAGTGTGCCACCAAGAGTTTGCCAGAGACAGGCACCAATTCAAGCGTAGGGTTGACATCCTGCTGCGATTTAATTGGGGGATATCTGATCGAGTCATTCCCTGCACCACTCAAAACCATCACTTGACTTCCCATTACCCATTCGCAATAAAAATTATCAACCAAGATAAACAATTGAAGATTCAGACAAAATGGGAGTTTCCTCCGCACGGCACAGTTCGCGAATGAGACTTTGTTGACGTTAAATTTATCCTGTAATTGCACTGCAAAGAGGCCTCTACATGACAGCCTCTTGAAATTGGTGGCACACTTACTGCATTGTGAATCGCTTATATGGGTACAGACCTGAAGTTATCCACTGTAAAAAAATTTTTGTACACTTCTACATTTCAGTTGAAGATTGATGATTTAAATTGTTTCCTTTTTATCTAGCACGCTCTTCCTCACCTCCGGAAGACCAAAGGAAACATCATTAACATATCAAGTCTGGTGGCCAAAATTGGGCAGACTCACGCCGTGCCTTACGTCACTACGAAGGTATATACATTGCACACCAGCAATCCTGTTTGTTGCTCAACTGTTGCTGCTGATGTGTTTTTGTGGGTGATTTTATGGGCCCTGGAATCTAAACGTTATGTAAACGTTGCAAGCAGTGTGTCCTGGGAAACCCCTTGCTAATTTAGACCTGGATCCACAAAGCCCAGTCCCATTGTCTTCTGGCCAATCACAGCTGTGATTTCTTGTCCAACATGCATTCACCAGAGTCCATTCATTGGCTGGTATAGATTGACTATATATATATTTATGACTCGTATGTATATGTAAATTTCTTGAGTAAGGTTTATATATCAGTATTTATTGATATCAATATATTTATATTTAAGTAGTTTATGTAAGTTTTTAAGCTAGCCAGTCTGGACCGGAGAGCCCCTGCCTCGACAGGAATCTTTTTCTTTTTCCTTTGGGCACTCCATCTGGTTTGGTTGGGTTTTGTCCTTTGTTCCATCGTGTACATTAACATTTTACTGTCTGCTTTGTTCACCTGTTTTTCCTGAAATAAATAAGTAACTAACTAAATAAATAAAGATAGTTTCTCGAATCTGCAGACCTTTTAATTGATTTGTCTTTTCTTTTCCTTTTCAGGGAGCCATCGACGCCATGACCAGAGCTATGGCCGTCGACGAAGCACAGTATGAAGTGCGTGTCAACACGTAGGTGCTACCAAGAAGTTTTGTTTTGTTTGTTTATTTTTGACACCATGGCTTTTGCACCCATTCCTTTTGGTCATAGGATTGCGGGCTCTCATGCATTAAGGGTAGGCCTGCCAACCTAGTCGTACTCCTTCCGGAGGTCAGGCATTACCCGGGCACGCAATAGCTTAAAAGGTATTAAATGAGCCTTCACTTTAGTTAAAACTTTAATCTATACTTGTGTGGTGATGCCTGACTTCAGGAAGAAGTTCGGCATGTCGAAAGGTCCGTAAGGGTATTCTGTAAATTTGGGGTCCAAATATAGATCTTGTGTCCTGTACACGTGACCTATGTAATTTGACATGAAAATATCTCTGAAAGGGATTTCAAACGTGTTCTGTTTGTTTGTATTAATTCATCGCTCTTGGAAATAACAGAATGGAGTTCTGAACTAAACAAAATCATATATGTCAGATGTGACAGGGACCGGAAAAATTGGATCCGTAACTTATAGACTGATCCATATGCATTTCTAACACTGAACATGCAGAGCATGGAGCTATCTTTCCTCACACTGAGTACAAAACAGTGATGCTTCTGTCTGTGAAAATCGAAACATACATTTCTGAAACAGGACATTTTGGGTCCAAAGAGAGCAGAAATGGAATTTTTTCCCAAAGGACATTTCAGTTTTATGCTATTTCTTATCTTATTGAAGAAGCCCAGCTAACCCACAAAGAAAGGTATATGCTTTTCTATATTATGCTTGCACATTCAGCCCCTATTAATATTGGTGACAGGGATATTTGCTGCTAGCTTGAATGCCAGTCTCACTCTACGTGCATTCGACGTGATGAGAAAAGCAAATTTAATTTCTCTTGAGCAAAAGTATGTAAGACCATGCATTTAGTTGGACGCATTTGGATTTGAGAGGAAAACCAAATAGCCATGCATGATCCCCTGTTAACTTTCAGAGCATTCTTGCAGGATGTTTTGAGTCAATTGAAATTAGACCAAAGTATTAATTGGATTGTCGCAGTGAAAGTGGACCAAATTCGTGCATTCATCCCCACCATAAAGTCAGAAATCTTTTCTGGTTGATCAAAGCAGAATGGAAGGACCCAACTCAAAATCTTTTTTCCTTTTAATGTTGCTGCTTCAAAATCTTCAGCATCTCTCCGGGCAATTTTTGGACACCCCTGTGGGATGAATTTTCCCAGGCCTCGGCCGACACCAAGGCATTCATACAACGAGGAGCTGAGGCGCAGGTGAGCAGGATTGAGGCTGCCGCACTACAGCGGTGGCTTGGTATAATTTCAATGTCCTTCAAGAAACATTTCACTGTGTTTGCTTGGTCCACACCACCAAGTCATGTTCCATTGATGCTTGTCATGCCACTCATAAACAGATCGTGGATTTGTATGGAACTAAAATCATTCGTGATAGGCCAAGAGATATATGACATTACCATATGGCAGTCGATGCGCTACATTACGCAAAGTGTAACGGGGAAAAATGGCACACTATGGGGAACTCACAAAACAACAAAACACTCAACTAAATCAAGAATCTTTGAGGGGAAAGTTGCCGGAAACTGAATTAATGACTCAGACACTGATATTTGACTTCAACAAAAGGATAAAAAAATCTATAAGTGAAAAAGTACTTAATGCAAAAGGACTAAAATGACTAAAAACACTTTGAAATGGCTAAAACCAAAACAATGTGCAAAATGGACCTTATGAGCGTACACTCATCAGATTTCAATCACTGACTTCTAGCAGAGTAGGGCTCAAGCAGAAAACCACACTCCAGTTAGGAGGAACAATACATGAGAAGTTGATTGGTTCCTGCCAGGCTGCTCTACACAGAGTGTGGCCAGAGCATTTGGCCACATGATTGTAATAACAGAAACACCGTAAGCCGTGTATTGGTTGCGATGTTCGATCAGGACGGAGATGTGCACCCGTAAAACATTTCAAATTCATGGAGAAAAATTACATCCGAATTTTTGCTTTTTGAAATTATCTTTTATAAGTGATATATTGAAAAAAATACCAACAATAAATATCAATATATCAATATATATCAAGAATCAACAATAGTGTTGGGAAATCCGAAACTTTCTCTATAGTCCGCTTCAAATTTTTGCTCATGGCACAAAAGTCAGGGGGAAATTTAATAGGCCCCCCCAAAAGTGGGTGAGAGGGAGGATATATACCCCATCCCCCTGGGACTTGCACCCATGCAAGAACCACACCAAGTTGTGTTTGCTGTATAGTGTACTTCAACAACGTTACAGATGCCTCTTCGATTCTGAGCATGTCAGGCTGAATGGTTATCCGGTTCGTGACTTTGTCACAAAGGAAGACGCGTCACAATTTACAGGCTCCCATTGGACGATCGCTGAAGTTGCGCATTAACTTCCGGTTCCATGGTTCCAGTAAACGACGATCAATACATGTAACTCTATGTGCAGGGCATGTGCAGTGGGCGTGGTTCAAATGGAGGTGACGTCACATTTACGAACCGGATAATCACTGCAGATACAGCGTCCAATCAGATTTGTCTATTTATAAATCCCTGCAGCTAATAGGTAGATTTGGCAAGCCGGAGGAGTCAGGCAAGATGTGCCTGTTCATCGCTGCCGAGGCCACCTTCTGCACCGGCCACGACTTTGTGATGTCTGGAGGGTCAGACCTAGACTACGGTTGCAAGACGCGAGTGAAGGGACGCACCAGCATCTTTGAGTGATAGGACAAGGGCGGTTGAAGGCCAATGCATTCTGGAGCCTTTATCTTCTCCTCATAAAGCGTGATTGTTTAGCAAAGCTCTCATGTTCTGATTGGGTACAGATATTTCAGTCTTTGGGCTAGAAGGATACACGGTTTGACGTTCTGATTGCAAAATATTCTAAATATATCGTTTCAAAAATGAGCCGCCAATTTCTTCCAACGGGTGTAAGTAGTTAATTTTTGTAGTTTGCAATTTCAACATATTTTAATTTTTCAACCTTGGATATTCCTCTTTTAGCCTTGTTTTTTGTTACCTCAAATTAATCCTCAATTAAACTTATTGATTTTTATCACGCCGCAAATTGTCAGATCCATTTAAACATGTTTGTCCAACAGTGTACCTGGGGGGAGGGGCTTCACCCCCCCTTAGCCGCTGTGCTTGTCCAGTACCCTTTATAAGTACTAGAAGTAGTAGGAATGGGCACTAGAAAATATGAAATTTATTTCATGCATGTGTGCGTGTTTAAATGCTGGTGACCTTTCTGAGATATTGGACACCTTTAGGAAAGAGATGTCACAGTTACGAGCTTAAGTTTGATATTTTACCCAAAAGAAAATGCATCAAAATATGAATATAAGGATTGTGTATCAAGTTGCACCGGAAACTCAGAGTGAAGTGCAAGTATCAGGTCACACAGCTTCGAAAGGCAACGAGAAAACAGGGCTCTATAATTTAGATTTTTCCAATTTTTTTGCTGACCTCTCCAGCCTTTCAGTAAACAATTCAAAATGCATTGAAATAAACTGTGTTAAAAGGCCGACATAGACTTTCTGTTACGATCAAAAGAGCTGCAAGTTGTTAAATTCTTGTACTGTATTGACTACACAGTCACTTGCTCAGGCTGCAAGGTGATAACTTGTCATGTTATCGTCCAAATCGGAACTTTTTGCCCCTGTTTATATCTCATAGCATAACCTCATGACATGGCATGAAGGAGAAATCTACAGCACTCTGATTACGAGTTTGAATGGCCCCGCGTACAGGTCACTGACATGAAATATACCGCCAAGGGCACTGCAGTTAGACACTGTTCTACTAAGCCTCTGAGGAGAAACATTTATTTCATAATCACAGGAACTATTCCTCGACCTGTGACGATCGATCGTCTAATTCTTCACAAATATTTACATTCACAAAGCAACAATGTCATCTGAATTAAGATTCTTGGACCAGTTTTCCAATTCACAAAATATACATACATCTATGGCAATAGAGCCGACTTATAAAAATTCTTTTTTACACAAGAGAGTTTAAATTGAGGCCAAGATTTTAAAAAGTACAGCCTCATGGAATGTACTGAGACTTCAAAATTACTGAATTGTTAAATAGCTACATAACACAATCCAAGCCAATGCAAATTTTACTGCTTTTCCAGTAGTTTACGGCATGCTATTTTAACTGAGAGACTGTAGTTGGTTCCTGGTGAAAAAAACATAGACATACACGGTGTTTTCAATGTTTTACGTAACCGAGGTCTGAAAACTACCAGAAACATGGATAGCAGGGTGTTTGAAAAGTCAACTGAAAACAGCTGCACTTGAACTTCAAACTTGGCGACCTGAAACAAATCATCATCAAATTCGCATCTCAAACTTCTGCTGATTCACACACTCATCGAAGTAAACATTACGGAAATTAACTACGCATGAGCTTCAAACTTGTTGAGCCAAACCAGATCATCCCCAAAGTCACATCTCCAAATTTGGCCGACTCACACACTCGACATCCGAGTAAACATAACTTCCATTGTTGGTTATCATTTGTCAAAGTTCTTGATATGTGTCAAAGTTCTTGACTTGGCCAACTATGCTCTTTTATTGGTGTTGGTTCCCTTACTTCTTTTGTCGACTCAATTTGGAATTCCTAAGTTCTCCAGGATACAAAGGTCGATGCACGGAGCGCATCTGATCTGCTGGGAATGCCTTCCATATGCTGCAGTTTGTACTCTTAATTTAAAGGCTTCATGTTTCCTGAATCTACTTTTATGGACATAAATATTTCCAGGATCTTTTTAATAAAAAAAAAGAAAAATTCTTATCAACTATTGTCAACTCTCGCAGTTTATACAAAAACCTCCATTTCTGTCAGCAGCTTTTACAAAAAAAGTGTAAAATACAAAACTACTGCAAACATCACTAGCTACAGTCACAATACAAAAATCGAGGAATTTATGGAGGCCCTGACATTTTGATCCTAGGAGAGCCTTTCGTCAAGGCAAAACAACACAAGGACTGAGACAAACAAACAAACACGAAATCGGAGCCCAACCCGTTGCCTTTAACATGATGATAAGGACAAGAGCTGGGCAATCAAGTCAGCCGCAATTGATGTTATCAGAAAGATCTTTGCTTTTTATTTGTAATCTCTCTCCTTTTTTTTACAACACTTATCTACATTTTGTTAAACGAGGAACTGTTACCCTGTTTACTGTTCAGCATAATGTAACAACTGTTTTCAGACTCAAAGCTCCAACCTTAAGAGTCCAAAGTCCAATAAACCCAAACCTGTACATTCATTGCAAGAACCCAAAACAAAAATTATTACAAGATCCTAATAGTTGTCAGCCAACCCTGTGGTAGAATTTTCTCTTTTCAATTTCTGCCTCACTTTGCAAAAGAACCCCTTAAGTCCTGGTATGTCTCTGTATGTAACAGACAAGTCTGTCCACCTGCCAGAGATCAATTCTAAATCTTCCTGTATCTATGGAACAGAACGTGTGACAGAGGTCACAAATACACAAATTGAATCCTTACTAAATGCCTCTCTGCCCTAAGCATCACTTAAAATCGATTTGTCACACATATGCCCAAGGGCCATTTTTACGGAGCCAGTCACATCATGTGCAATATACTTTTTTATTACAAATATTACAAACATTACTTCATGAAAGATGTGAAATTCTACCCCTTCGGTGCCACTTGGAGCACATCCTTTAATTTCAGCACGTTTTGGAGTTTTCGATAGGCCATCTGGTGTAACTTGTTATTTTACCAATAGTTCGCCGTATTTTTCACTTCAAATGCAAGTTGAACATTCAATGGAAATGCAAAGCACAAAAGAGTACAAAAACGTTCTCTCCCTGAGTATGTCTTGTTGGAACTCAACTGCTGGAAATAATATTTGAACTTAAATCAAAATATTCCTGCCAAACCAGATACCCAGAAAATCTGGCTGGCACTAAAAATTGGAAATAGAATGTTATTCCAAATTTATTTGCCTTATGCCCAGGACTAGATATTGCATTTGATCACTAATGTCACATTGCAAACTCTGAACTGCAAGAGAATTTATAAGATTCTTAAGGATTGAAATTGCAACTGAGGTATAAAATGAATGTAATTTGCACAGTCCATAAATGTAAGACTTACGAAATTTACACTTTCAAGTTCAGAACCACATTGGAAGTCAAACTGAAGATTGTCATGATGGCAGCTTTGCATGGTAGCCATCTTGCAAGGCAGTACTTTTGTTCTGCATGGAAACCTCCTTTATGCACACCCTGTGAAACAAAAGCGCTGGCCTGCAGCATGGCAGTCATGCAAACCCTCTATGGGTGATTTTAAAAAAGCAGCAAGAAATTAAATGTCAGTTTCTACAATACAAAGTAAAATCATTTCAGATTGAAGGATTGTTCAAATTTATCAAAATAAAACCAGAGACCCATTTTGGAAAAGTTTTGACATTCGGTTCCTGGTATACACTGCAGGCCTACATATACACAAGGCCATCACATGTCCATCACATGTCCATCACGTGGCCGTCGTGTGGCTATCACATGGCTAGAAATTTCAATTGGCGGCAGGGTACAGTTCTTTGAAGAGTTCCCCATCGCCTTTGCTCTTGTCCAGCCACTTGTTGCAGGGGAACAGAGCCTGTTTGCCCGTGGCCAGGTTGGTGATGGTCACATGGTCGCATAACCATCCCGCGTTGAAGCCCTTGTTGTCGTGCTCAATGCGTACCTTGTTGAGGTCACCCAGGTCTAGGACCTCCAGTGTGAACTTGTCTGTCTGGCCTGTTGCAAAAAGGAAAATGTGATAAGCAATCCTTGCCAACATTTCCTTCATTAGATGTCGACAGATGTCACCAAAAGCTGTGCCTTTCTTGCCAGCAAAAACATACTACACCTAGTTATTTGAAAGGCAGTGACATGGCTAAGGGGCACGGGGAAAGAAGTCATCCATCTGCAATTAAAACCTACCTTTCTCAAAGAGGTCTCTGAAGCGTTGCTTCAGTGGTTGTCTGCCAGAATCGCCATTGCTTCCGTATATGGTAATTTGGACATTGGCGTCAGTTCCGGCTCCCTTCTCATTGGCCGTAACCACGACGACTTCGTACCGCACTGGTGCGAGGTCTGCATGCACCAAACAGGTGAAAGTTAATTAAACCTATCAAAGAATCTGAGGGAATCAGAGAGTCAAAAAAGGTTCCCAACAGGATTTTGGCTAGATCATAGCCAGGTAAGTTTAAAGAAGTCGTAGACTTACTACGAGCGGCAGCCATCTTGCCCTCGTCCACTTTCTTGCAGTTGAGTCTCATGGCGCTGTCTTTACCAAAGCCGAGAGGGACCCACCCTTTGCAAGGAAAGGTATATCTGGAACAAATAGACAGAGGAGAAAAATATAAAAAAAATGTGACTTCATCACAAGACTAATGCAGATTTCGAGTTTGGTCAAAGAAGTTAACCCTTTTTTACATCATGTTCGTCTTTAAAAAAGAAAACTGCGCGTGAGGGACCACTGTCATGAAGTTAAATAAAAAAAATTACAATAATAAGGTTTACTGTATATGTTATAGAATTGAAATAAAACAAAAAACAGGTGAGGAATTCCTCCTCACAAATTGCACAGTGCCTTCCCTCAAAGAATCTGCCTCTCTATCGTCGACATCAATTATTAATCTCACTTTGTTCCCAAGGATGTATCCATGACGACCACCTCATGGCAGTGCCAGTCGACCTCCCGTCCTGTGCCTTTGGGCGTGGGGCCCTCGTTTCGTTCCCGGTGGCCGAGAAGGATGCTATCGATCCTTCCCACATTGCGGGTGGAGAACTTGAAAGTGTCAGTATCACCCCTGTCAAATTGATAAGTTATCGGAGAACGGAATTTTTGAGGTTATCAAAATCTAATATTAACTTCCATTCTAAGGTTTGGTCCAATTGGTCAGAGAGTCAAGTAGCTCAAAGTTGCTAGAGCCAGTGAAAAGCTCCGTGAATTGTCTTACGTCATGATCCCAACACAGATAAGAGAGCAATGGAAACTCAAAACTCAATGAAGAAACTCCTTAGATAACGAGCCAGTTCAGTTCCTTACAGTGAAAGCCCAAAACAAATTGCATTGTATTGTCATTCGGAGGAAAGTATATGCTTGTGTGAGATTGGCCTAATCAATGCGGCTGTGTGCCGACTTAGACACAGTTGAACATGTTCACACTCTCATGCTTTGTTTTCAAATGGCTTTGCCTTTTTGAAATACAGAAGTGGCTCATCAATATTTTACGAAGGCTTACTTCCTGAGGATTTTCTTCTTGGCGCTGTTCTCCATCACAAACTCTCGAGAGCTGCGGAGGTCACCTTCTAAAATCACCCAAGCATTCTGGGTAGTGCCCGCATCCCGCTTGTCTGTGGTTGTCACGGAAATCTCATACGCTGTTGGGGAGATTTACATCAGATGATGAGATAGCTCTGAGTAGTAACAGAATTTTACACAATGTATTTCGGATGGGTCTTGACATTTTAAACTTGGTCTGATTTGAACACTTACTGATTTTCTCTTTGTCGTCCCTGGGCGTGTTCAGTGAGGCACATGTCAGCTCCCTCATGATCTGTTTATCGTCCTCGTCTCGCGCCAGCCAGCGGTTGCAAGGGAACATGTAAGTCTGATTCTTGCTCTCGTCTACAATCTCCACGTACTCCAGGTGCCAGCCTGCCTTCAGCCCTGAGTGAAGAGACACACAAGGCAATCAGTGGCAAGCTAGAATGACATGTCTGAGCGTAAGATGTCTTGTCATGCCATGTCTTGGACACAGCGATTCCAACGGTCTAGACTGGATGTAAAGCATGTTTATATAACAGGAAACATGAACAAGTGTCCCCTTGTCCAATCACTGGACCATTTTATATGGGGAAGATGCAATCTAAAGTTTGCCAATGGCCTGTCGCGCAAATGAGTGTAGCGGTAGTCTGGTTCCCTGACTTCATCCTTACGTAACCTCCCTTTTCCCTTCCCTTACCCTCCCGTCCCAACCCCGTCCCTCCAGCGACACCCCTGTGTACATTATTTCAATCATCGAGAGACCCTTTTGTTAATATTATGATTTCTACGTCCCACAGATCACAAACTTAAATGGGGCCACAGAACCTACCAAGGATTAAATAGCCCATGGCCATGCATCTTCAATTTTTCAGCGAATCTGGGCATCCCCCCATTCACAAATGACCAACCTTTGTTGTCGTGCCAGATTCGGATCTTGGTCAACGTGCCGAGACTGAGCATGGAGAAGGAGAAGATGTCTGCCTGGTTGCGCTCAAACTTATCCCGGTGCGTCTGCGACTCCTTCAACTTCAGCTCCTCCGAGCTGCCGTTCTCGCCAAAGATGATCAGGCAGACGTTGGCGTCGGTGCCGCAGCCCCGGATGTCGCTGGTCTTCACCGTGACCTTGTAGTTGATGTCTATTGATCGGGAATTGTTATCATCAATCACTGTTTTAGCTGAAACCTCTTAAGATAATCATACATGTCATAAGAGCCAAAAGAAGATCACAAGATCCCACATGACCATTAAAAGATCAGCTCAAGACCAACACAAAATACACAAGACCAACCTAGGACCAAGATAGTACCTCCTGTCTGAAATCAAGTCGCAACCTATTCAAATGAACGACCAACAAAAGCATTCCTTTGTCTTTGTTCATCCCGTTACTTGTGACTGGTCTTATGAAAGCTCTTATGCACTGTCTAGAGCACTGTCCTAGGTGGTGAATTAGGAGTGAAATAACTTCTGTAGATGTGTAGATAGCCTGTTGACCTGCTTTTAGGCTTAAAAGATTGATCAACAAGTTCCCACTTTTGGTTGATAACCTGCTGCTTAGTGCTCAAAAATGGTTCTCCTCTTCTTTTGGCTTGTTTGTGCTTTGTCCGTCCATGGTTGACCAATGCAAAGAACTCATATGCTGTACACTTGCACAGACATGCTATTAGGTAATGCCTCTTTTTTTTTTACAAAGCAAACTGTTTCTCTCGTCGGCCTTACTCTGAATCTGTGCTTTGCCCTTGACATAGGCGGGTAGTTCCCTGACTATCTTCTTGTCACTGTGCGTCTTGGATAACCAGTCTTCGCACTTGAACACAGTCAGGTCGCCAGTCTCCATGTTACGCAGGTGAACCTGAAAAATCAATTTGAAGAGACTCACTGAAGTAGTTTAGATAAGCAGTATAAAGTAAAAAGCACTTTACAGGGAAAATGTACGCAAGGTGCATTATGCCACGATCCTCTTTCACTGGTCCCTCACCTTGTCCAAGTACCAGTCTGGTCGGGATCCTTTCCCATTGTGTCCGATCCTGATCTTCTTCAGTGGGGCTATGTCATCAAGCTCCGTCTAGTGTCAATCAAATGACAAATTATTTCTTATTTCAACAACTTGAAATAATAATAACCCTGAGAAAGATGATAGCAGATCGATAATGAGTATTTTTGAGAATTACATAAAATACGGGCGTTTCACAGTAGTGCGCCTCCGAGAGTTTGCAATGCGTTGGCCTATCACATCAAAATTTGTTGACACAACACTAATTGGCAAGAGTTGACAAATTGCGTGCGTTCCCATTGGCTGATGTGTTGCAAACTCTTAGAGGTGCACTATTGTGAATTGCCCGTACTGTTTCTATGGACACAATTTGCTGTGACTAATTTTTCTGTCTGAAAGTGCAGACCGGTGTTAAAGTTTCAATTTTATGGTCACATAAATTCTCACTAGTACATCCATTATGCAACAAGGAAATACTAGTAGGCAACAGTTTCAAGACCTCAGAAAACTAAAGTCCTTACAGAAATGACGGAATAAACCTCACAAAATTTTTCATATTGGTATGTTGAAAGTACTGACTTTGGAGAATACCTTTAAGTTGAATGGCTTGCATTTCTCAGCTTGTCACTCAAAACTCATTACATGAAATGGATGGTGAGGTTTTAAGAACAACCTTTCTGAAGGTGTTGATTGGCTTACTTTGATCAGATCTTCTTTGCCCCGCTCGAACCTCTCCCCGTTCTTGTCCAGAGTTAGTTCCGGTGTCGAGCCGTTGGTCCCGAACACGGTCATTGTGATGACGGCGTCAGTTCCTGCATTCTGGACGTCGCCGGTGAAGAACGTCACCTCGTATGGGATTTCTGAATGGAAGGAGGCAGCACGTGATGTTGAATCAATTACAACATGTTACCCATGGAATATCCCTCCCAAGAAAATCAAAATCCTCCACACAAAGAGGTAATTTTCTTAAAATAACATTTGAAGTTTCAGCCTTTTTCAGTCATGCTAATTGGATGCCCTTCCTTGGCGTCAACAAGACATGCTTTTAAATTAGCACAAGGGGTAATTTGGGGACACTAGTACATGAAGGCCTCTGCTTCCTTTCATGCAATGGAGATTTACGGTGGTGATGACAGGACAGCAAAGGGGTATGGTTTGTTGGGATGGAATGGGGGGAGGTAACAGATATGTGAACTGTTACATCGAAATCAGGAATAAGTAGCAAATTGACTTTTTGAGATATGTACATAGAAAGAGAATTTCATAAGCTGCCAAAATGGTACACATTACAAGTGTGCTGATGGTAACCTTTCATACACACACTTCCAACATGTACAGACCGCCACATCGATTTTTCAACATTAACACATCCCCACTTGACTCGGCCATTACGTAAAAGTCTCAGCGACTCATTCCTGATTAGGATGTACTGGGTCACACTAGCTTTAAAACTGGACACTGAGAATAGGAGGACAGGACAGGAAGAAATGAGGGAGGGGCAGATGGGCGGAGGAGGTGGGCGGGATGAAACACTGGGAAAAGTTGGACGAGACAAAATATGGCTACCAACCATGTACAGGGCAAGTGGTGACTGGTGGCAGGTCCACCAATGATAACAAATGGTAGGTGCCAAAAACAGAGGTAAAACTGCGGTATGTTGTAACATTTCTCACCTGAGTGAAAGGAGCTGTCTTACAAGTTGTTCAATAACAGGCTGACAGTTGAAGAAACAGGGAAAAAAAAGGAAGGGGAAAGATGCAGGGAATAATAGAGAGCCTTGCGAAAAATCAACACCTGTTGACGAGGCGGCTCCACAAATTTGACGAACGGGGAAAGGAATGCTTGCATGGATGAGAGGTCTAGTTTTTAGGAGGAAGGATGAACAGACACAATGATGGACTTCCACATCTCAGGCATGCAGTGTCCATGCGACGTAATACCACTCACTTGGCTTGTAGTGGATGCTGCGAACCAAGGAGAAGACAGTCGGACTGCCGTCTACTAATCATCCCGAAATGGGGCGGGGGAAGGAAAAATGAGAGGCGTACAATGGAGAAAGAGGACGACAACAATGCCACCTTAGGGCAGAGACACAGCGGAGACAATCGTCTGAGTCTGCTACAAATAACTCAGGACTTGATTTTTAACGTTCAGCTTATCTGAACGGCTTGATTTGAGACTGGATGGTTTGTGATGACTTGGGATGACACGGCAATATCTGACGTGGGAATTATGAACAGAGGAAAAGGGAACAGGTGTCTATGTATGCAGCGTGATAGTTTGCATGGTTAGGATGTGAGCGTTAGTGTCAATGTTGACCTTTAACCTACTGATGATGAGGTGGCCGACTGCAAGAAAGTTGGGGGGGGGCGTACTTGGGTGTCGGCGGAGTCTCTTTGGGGGGAGGGAGATTTCCGGGAGGACTCATCAGCAAAGAGATGATAAACCAAAAACAGCGGAAGGGGGGAAGATTTTCAGGTTTTCTGACCCCTGCTTCTCATTCCTTTTCGTCGTTTAAAAAATTTCTTTCACTTTTCTTTTTTGGTTTTCACTTTGTTTCTGCAGGGCAAGCACCCCCCCTTCTCGTCCCTTAGCAATATCCATGGGACTGGGCAGGGGGACTGGGCAGGGGGACTGGGCAGGGGGAC